CCAGATAAACCCTTTCCTTCCCTTCCCCCCCCCCCCGCAAAAAAAAAATGTCACTGTTCCCTAGGGTTCTCCTAGGCATTTTTCTTTTGAGTTTGGGGGTTTTGGTGGGGTGGTTTTGTTTTGTTTTTGTTGTTGTTTTGTTGTTGCTTTTTTGGGGGGCCTTTTTGAGACTGGGTCTCCCTGTAGCCACAGCTGACCTGGATTCGCAATGGAGACCAGGCTGGCCTCAAACTCACAGAGATCTGCCTGTCTCTGCCTCTGCCTCAAAGGCATGCGTCACCACATCCGGCTCTTGTGGTTGTTTTTACATGGGATCTCTCTGTAGCCCCAGCTGGCCTGGAACTCTCCATGTAGACCAGGCTGGCCTTAACCTCACAGAGATCCACTGCCTCTGCCTCCCAAGTGTTGGCATTAAAAGCATGAACCACTGCACCTGACCTTAATGTTCCATGACTTTATCATCTCCATTCTCTGGTTATATTCCATACCCAAAGATTGGTGACTGTGACTATCTCAAATAGAGGCCAGGTATATATCTATGGTCCTAGCACTTAGGGAGGCTGAGGCAGGAGGATCACAAGTTTGCGAATAGCCTGGGCTACATAGTGAGACTGTCTTTAAAAGTGATAAATTACCAGAGTGCAGGACAGTTTCTGTCACCCCAAAAATTTCATACTATTTCCTTTGTGTCAGACCTTTTCCCTAACCCTAATGTCTGTCAGTCATTGATCTGTTTGTCTTGTAGTTCCTTTGAAATATATATGGTATTATATGAGTATGTAGCTTTTTGAGACTTTATTTAAGCTATGAGGATTTGATTTGCCCATCTCCATCACAGGGCATAAAAATAATTTTGTGTTAGTGAGATCTTCTTACTACAAACAGTATGGTTTGCTGTTTCTAGGCCTTCTGGGAACAATAGTGCAGTGTAATCCTGAAGGTCTACCAGTCATTTAGTGATTTAGAACTTGAAGGTTTTCCACGTCTTCTCAGATCTGCAGTGTGTTATACCTTAAGGTGAGTTGTTTCTACAAAGGATAAATCCCAGTCATTGTATGTTAATACCACTTTTGCCCTGAAATTTGAATGTATGTTAGATTCAGATATAAGGAACATACAGTCCTTATGTATAGCTCTGTATTCTAAAATACACTTTTTTTTTTTTTTTTTTTTTTTTTTTTTGGGACAGGGTCTCCCTGTAGCCCCAGCTGTCCTGGAACTCACTATGTAGACCAGTCTGGCCTTGAACTCACAGAGATCCATCTCCCTCTGCCTCCCGAGTGCTGGGGTTAAAGTTGTGCACCACCACGCCTGGCTAATACCCCCCCTTTTTTTTTTAAAGTGTCCTGTTTCTACTTTTACACAATTTGGCATTGTTCTTGGTTATTCTGTATATTTCATAAATTTATACCATAGATGTCTAATCTTTATCTTTATTTTTTTTGAGACAGGGTCCCTGTAAGCCCTACCTGGCCTGGAACTCACTATGTAGACCAGGCTGGCCTTGAACTCACAGAGATCCATCTGCCTCTGCCTCCTAAGTGCTGGGACTAAAGGCACGCAACACCACACCCAGCACATTTTGTTATGATTTGAAAATAACCCGTAATTTTTTAATAAATTTTATCTTCACTGAGCCTGGTGGTGCAGGCCTACGGTTCCAGCTAATAAGCAGGAGGCCAAGACAGGAGAATCCAAACCTCTAGGCCAACCTGCACAACTTTGCAAGCCCTCAAAATGAAAAATAAAGAGGACTGGGATTATGTAGCTCAGTGGTAGAGTATTTGCCTAGCATGTGTGAGGCCCTAAGCTCAATTCCTAGTACAAAAAAAAAGAGAAAGCTTTATCTTAGTCCTTGTTAGTCATTATTTATCTATCTAATCAAATCGGTTTTGATTTTTCCCCTCTGACAAAAATTCCTTATTTTGTGGTAAAGAAATATTTGACCTAGAGCCAGGCAGTTGACTCCAGAGTAATTGTTTCTCTGCCTTTTCTCAGTGTGATTCCTGAGTGTACTTTCTTGTTTCTGCAGGTTTGGGACCTGCGCCAAAACAAGTTAACCTACACCATGAGAGGCCATGCAGATTCAGTGACCGGCTTGAGTTTAAGTTCTGAAGGATCTTATCTCTTGTCTAATGCGATGGACAATACAGGTAACTTTGGAGAACAAAGCTGTCCCAGAGCTAGTCTCTAAACAAAAAAAGGGGGGGGGGTGCAGTTTAAATATTAATAACTGTACTGAGAGCCAGTGAGATGGTTCAGCAGGTTAAAGCACTTATGGTCAAGTCTAATGCTGACCTTTATTCAGTCTCAGGGATCCACATAGTAGAAGGAGAGAATTCACTCCTACAAGTTGTCCTCTGACTTCCATATGCATGCCATGGTGCTCTCTTAGTCTCTCTCTCTCCATTGATCTCTCTCTCTCTCTCTCTCTCTCTCTCTCTCTCTCTCTCTCTCTCACACACACACACACACACACACACACGACAAAATAAGGAAGTTTAAATAAAGGCTTTTTTTTTTTTTGTCTTTTGAGACAGGGTCCCCCTATAGCCCCAGCTAGCCTGGAACTTGGTGTATAGACCAGGCTGGCCTTAATCACAGAGATCCACCTGCCTCTGCCTCCCGAGTGTTGGGATTAAAGGCCTGCACCACCACACCCGGCTAGTGAAAATTTTTTAAGGTACCTGTACTTACATAGCATTCACGCAGACCTGAGTTCAGTCTCCAGCAGCACAGAACTGGGGGGATTGTGCTTTAGAGTAAATGAAAAGCCAAGGATGCTTAAGATTCTACCTGACAATTAATAGAGCATCTAATGGGAAAGACTTTAGATGAGGTGATCCAGCACCCAGGACTCTAGTCCTAAATCTCCTATGTAGTCTTTGAACAACGTTTTTTTTAAATATTTTATTTTATGTGTATGCATGTATTGCTTGCATGTAGGTAAGTGCGCCTGTGTCATGCAGTGCCCAAAAAATACAAAAGAGGCTGTCAGATCCCCTAGAACTGGAGTTACAGACAGTTGTTAGCTACCATGTGGATACTGGATTCAAACCTAGATCTTCTAGAAGAACAGCCAGAGTTCTTAACCACTGAGCCATCTCTCCAGCTTGGTTTTTGGGGTTTTTTTTTGTTTGTTTGTTTGTTTTTTTTGTTTTTTTTTTTTTTGGTCTTTTTAAAACAGGGTCTTCCTGTGGCCCCAGCTGGCCTGGAACTCACAGAGATCTCTCTGCTTCTCCCTTTGCCTCTGTCTCTGCCTCCTAAGTGCTGGGACTACAGGCATGTTGCACCACACCTGGCGTAGACGTTTTACCTTTCAGGCCCATTTCAGCCCTAGTATGCTATGAATCCAAACAGGATATAAGAAAGTGACTGGCCTAGGTACTGTTCTGATTCTCCATATAGGTTTGCTTTTGGGGGGGGGTTGTTGTTGGTTTTTTTTTTTTTTTTGTGTGTGTGTGTGTGTGTGTGTGTGTAGTTGACCTTACTCAAATTTAGGCTGTTGAAGTGTTCATCTGAGAAAATAAAGAGGTTATGTTGAATTTTGTTAATGTGTTGTCACAGTATTCAGTGGTACTTAGATTGTCATATGGGGGCTGAGGAGATGACTCAGTCAGTAAAGTGCCTGTTGTGCCAGCATGAGACCTAAGCTTGGTTCCCCAGGACCTATGAAAAAGCCAGGCGTGATGGGCATCCGTGACCTAAGTTTGGTTCCCCAGGACCTATGTAAAAGCCAGGCATGATGGGCATCCGTAACCCCAGAGCTCACTGGGCAGCCAATCTAACCAGTCCATGAGTTCCAGACTCAATGAGAGACCCTGTCTCAAAAAATAAGATCCAGGCAAAATGGCTTGAACCCTTAATTGTAGCACTGAGGTACTCTGGAGGCAAATAAATAAATGTGTTTAATGAGTACAATAGATACTTATTAAATAAATAATAATTTTTAATTTAAAAAAAGATTGTCATACCAACTGAAACCTGATTTGGCAGAGGAATCATTTGTAAAATATTTTCGTATTTTGTTTGGGGTTTTGATTTTTTGGGTTTTTTTTGGGGGGGGTTGTTTTTTGGTTGTTTTTTATATTTGTTATTTTTATTTTATGTGTATGAATGTATTGCCTACATATAGGTAAGTGCACCCATGTCATGCCATGCCCATGGAAGTCAAAAGAAGGTGTTGAATCCCCCTGGAACTGGAGTTACAGACAGTGGTTTTTTTTTTGTTTTGTTTTGTTTTGTTTGTCTTTTTGAGATGGTCTCCCTGTAGCCCCAGCTGTCCTGGAACTCATAAAGATCCTCCTGCCTCTGCCTCCCGAGTGCTGGGATTAAAGGCGTGTGCCACCACACTCCGCACAGACAGTTCTTAACTGCCATGTGGCTGCTGGGAATCAAACCCAGGTCCTCTGGAAGAGCACCAATGTTCCAGTCTCTCCAGTCCCCTGGTTTTGATTTTTTTAAGGCCCAGGTTGGCCTCAGTCAAATTTGCAGGTAGCCTGCCTCAGTCTCCCCCAAAAAATGTGCATGCGTGTGTTATATCCACCTATATTCTTCAGTAAAACTCCAATTGGGGTTTTTTTTTTTAATTTCTCCATCCTATTTCCTCAGCTTTTCTTCCTCTGTGCCTGTATCCCCAGATAATCAGGCTTTTCTATAGTTCATTCCCACTAGAAGAATGAAAGAGCCTTAGCAATTAGCATTATGTGGAGTTGGATGTCTTCTGGAAATGCATTCCTTAACTAGTGTGATGCTAGTTTCAACTGGGTTCTCAGGAAGCTGCTGGCTGATAATTGTGTGATTGGTTGGATTGCTTTACAGTTCGTGTTTGGGATGTCCGGCCATTTGCTCCCAAAGAGAGATGTGTGAAGATATTTCAAGGAAATGTTCACAACTTTGAAAAGGTGAGTGCTACCTGCCAAAGGGCTTTTACTGTACATTTAATCCAAAGAACCATTTAAAGTGATGCTAAGAGGGTTGGAAAGATGGCTCCGCAGTTAAGAGCACTTGCTGCCCTTATAGAGTACCTGCTGGGTTCAGTTCCCAACACCACATGGTAGCCCACGACCTCCTTAACTCTAGTTACAGGAGATCTGATTCCTCTAGCCTCCCTGGCACCATATATCCATGTGATACATATACATACATGCAGATACTTCATATTACATATTCATATAAAAGAAAGAAATCTTTAATCCCAGTACTTGGGAGGCAGAGGCAGGCAGATCTCTGTGAGTTCAAGGCCAGCCTGGTCTACATAGTGACTCCAGGACAGCTGGGGCTACCGAGAGACCCTGTCTCAAAAAGACTAAAAAAAAAAAAAGAAAGAAAGAAAGAAAAGAAAGAAATCTACTGATGAGGTGATACAGTCCTTCAATACTAGCACATGTCCTCTGAAATGGAGGACGCCCTGGACACCCTGGTCTGCATAGTTGAGTTCCAGGTTAGCTGGAACTACAAGGATACTATCTCAAAAAATGAAAATAAAAAAAATCTTAAAATTCAGGAAAACATGGAATAGAGAGGTGGCTCAGCGCTTAAGAGGCTCTTGCATCTTACAGAGGGCCTGGGTTCAATTCCCAGCACCTAACACGTGGGACTAACTACCATCTATAACTCTGGTTCCAGGGAATCCAACATCCTCTTCTAGCCACCATGGACATTGCCCAAATGGGTACACTTACATACATGCAGGCAAAGCACTCATAACATAAAATTAAAAATAAGGGGCTGGAGAGATGGCTCAGCAGTTAAGAACACTGGTTGTTCTTGCAGAAGACCCAGGTTTGAATCCCAGCACCCTCATGGCAGCTAACAGCTGTCCATGACTCCAGTCCCAGGGGATCCAACAGCCTCTTCTGACCTCTACTGGCATTGTACAACACGGATGCACTTACCTACATGTGGGCAATACACGGATACACATAAAATGAAAATAATAATTTTTTTTTTAAAGTTTGAAAAAAAATAAATGTATAAGCTGGGTGTGGTGGCATACTCCTTTAATCCCAGCACTTGGGAGGCAGAGGCAGGAGGATCTTTGTGAGTTCGAGGGCAGCCTGGTCTACATAGTGAGTTCCACTGTCTGACTCAAAAAGACAACAACAACAAAAAAAAATTTCAAGTAAATAAAGTGATAAGAATAGGAAGGAGTTGCTCCTTTAAGAATGCGCTGGCTTCAGCTGGGCATGCTAGCACATGCCTTTAATCCCAGGTGAATCTCTGTGAGTTAAAGGGCAGTCTGGTCTACATAAACAAGCTCCAGGCCAGCTGAGGCTACAGGGAGACCCTGTCTCAAAAAGACCCCCAAAAAAAGAAGAATGAGCTAGTCTAGTCAGAGCTGCCCTTTTTTTCCCTTCTCTGACAGGGTCTCCCTAGTTCAGCCCACCTCAAACTCACTATGTAGACCAATCTGGCCTTGATCTCACAGAAATCCTCCTGCCTCAGCCTCCTGAGGGCTGAAATTCAAGGCGTGTGCTACCATGCTCAGCACTTTTGGGGGGTGGGAGGGCATGGTCTCACTGTGTAGCTTGGAGCTTGTGAACTTCCTACCTCAGCCTTCCATGTGCTAAGATTATAGGCATAAGTTACATGCCTGACTCAAAGCTGTTCTTGCCAGAAGTCCAGCTAGTAGAGCATACTGGAGAAGGCCATCACATAAACCATGCTGGGTTCAGTCCTCAGTCCTGACCCAGGACATACCTGGCCTTTTAATCCTTTGGAATGCCAACTTTAGATCAGTTCTATATGGGACCCAGGCTCCCAAGGTTCTTACCCAGAGGTCTTCATGCGCCTAGATAACAGATGATAGAACACTGAAAGCAAGCCGTTCCCTTTGGTAATCACCATGGCCCAAGTTCTAAGAGACTGAAATTCTTAAACCCTCAAGTATCCGAGTCAACTCTTGTGAAAGGTTTTCCTGTCAAAGAGTTTGTTAAAAGAGATTAATGGTTTTCTTTTGAGAGTTCATTGAGATTGTTTTATTTTATAAATCCAATCTCATTTTTGTTGGGTTTGGTTTTTTTGTCTTCAAAGTAAACAAGAAAAACAATGAAGTAAAAACTAGGAAAAAGCAAGATAAAATAGAAAAAAATCTTTCAGTGAGGCTCAAGATAAATGGAGCAAAAGGAGCCTTCATTTATTAAAGACAAATTTTTGTTGCCGGGTCTGTTTTTAATAAGAGTAGGGTTAAGCACTTTCTACAGCTAGTTTTTATGTGGTATAAAACAGCACAGCATGCTGATGTGGGTAAGAATATAACTGCTGATCATTCTGGGGAAAATAAAAGTACTAAGAAATGTAACATCAGTGATTCACTAGTGCATCAAAGAGGAGTTTAGGTTAACTATTCAATGGATTCCTGTTTATTCATCATTGTAGAATCTCTTGAGATGTTCTTGGTCACCAGATGGAAGCAAAATAGCAGCTGGCTCAGCCGACAGGTAAGGATCACTAGGTGTGAAGATGAGATGGTATACCTATCTCTCACATACTCGATGCATGAGGGCGAGAACAGGCAACTTTACAGCTGTTCTCAGAGATGAAGCCCTGTGAAGATGGAAGTTTAAAAACCATGTTGGAGATGTTTCTGTCTTCTTTTTACATTTTAGACCTAGAGAGTCAACAATTTATTTTTACCTGTTGGATTCTCTGACACCAAGAGGAAATTCAAGACTTAGAATCATTGTGGTCAGATTCTTCCACCATGCTTCAGTTCATTCAGATACATTAGACACTCACCTATCTGGCCATCTCAAGGGTTCGTTCATGTGGAACTTCGAACCTCCTTCTGCATTCTCACCTCCAGGTTCTCTCATGCTTCCCTTTTCTACTCTCCAGACTCCTGTATCTTCCACCACTTCAGCTGCACCTGTGAACTTTCCCTGACCTCTCTCCCTGGTCTCAAACATAACTCATTGCCCTTTGCTATGTGTCTGACCTTTATTAGTACTTTTCCCTCTTACATTCAGACAAACACTGAGCACCCCTATAAGTATTAGATGTCAGGGAATAAGTCTTGATCTCTGTAAACCCAGGACAATGCTAGTCAGTGCTTGAATTATTGTAAATACTTGATAAATATTAAAGGATGAATTCCTAACTCAGGTGGCGTCAAATCCCACCCTTCATGTCAACCCAACATTTAATGGGTTGAAGATGCCAGTGTTGAGGATGATTTGGAGTCAGACCTGGGCTCAGTGGGAAGTGCCATGAATGAAGGATATAGCAACTTGTAGGCTAGGTATTTTCAATCTCTGTTATAAGTTAATAGACCAGGACTTTCTTAAGTGTGAATTTAAACTGGTTCAAGGCATTAGGTAGTTACTGAGAAACAGAAGAGAGAAAATTCTTCTATAAGATACTGTTGTGTTTGGTATGTCTGACGGACTGTCTTTGGGAGGAAATCAGATTGAATGGGGAGGGATTCCAAGTGCCAAAGCCAATAAACCACAAATGTGCAGTGGTAAAGAATGAGACCTTTTGGGAGCTGGAGTATACTTCAGTGGCAGAGGCCTGCAAGTGAAAATCTTCCCCAGTTTACCAGGGCTTTCAGCACACTCCAGGGTTTTCTCTGTGGACCCCTAGCACTGCTTGGAGAGATTTCACTGTGATCTGTCCCACAGCTGTTCGGGGACTACTTGGAAAAATCTGGATCCAGTTTTTTATTTTGTTTTCCCTTATAAGTTTAATACCAGGAAAAATGGACATATATTTGGGAGGTTTGGGGGTATAGGACTACCTAGGAAAAACAGTGCCAAAATGATAATTGGCATCTGAATAATCTAGAAAGCTGCCTTGAAGAATCTAGATTTTTAGTTGTTAAGAAACTTAAAAAAACCTTAACCCCCTGGCATTGGGCAAAGATGCACCTCACTGGTGGTGGTGTTCTTCTATCAGTCGGGGGCAGAGCAGATGGTGTCCTTTGTTCATCCTAGCTTGATGCCTGGCTTGGTGGCCAAAGCTGTTTCATGCCTAGGGCACATTAACAACAAACTGAAGAAACAGACTAAAGGATCAGCTAGTGCTCTCCAATCCCACTTTTTCTTAACTGTTCTGTAATTCCCAGTAGGGGATCTGGTGCCCTCTTTTGGCTTCTGCAGGTATAAGATACTCATGTGGTACACATACATATATGCAGGTACTCATACATTTATAAAAAAATAAAAGTCTTTTTTTAAAAAGCAAGAAAATAGGCCAAGGAGCCAAGTATAGTGGTCCCTACCTGTAATCCCAACACTCAGAATGCTGAGACAGGATGATCATAAGTTTAGGGTCAGCTTGGGCTACATAGAGTTCTAGGGCAGCCTGGACTATATAGTGAGACCCTATCTCAAAAAAAAAAAAAAAAAAATGTGCTAGGTGTGGTGGCGCACACCTTTAATCCCAGCACTTGGGAGGCAGAGGCAGGCGGATCTCTGAGTTCCAGGCCAGCTGGGGCTACAGTGAGACCCTGTCTCAAAAAGACCCCCCTCCCAAAAAAGGGGCGGGGGGGAATCTTGCACTCACAGAGAATGAAAATCATTCTAAGTATTTTTATTTTCAGTAAAGATGGTATAGTCTACCTATATAATTGCATCTTTTATGTTATATTTGCATAAGCTCTTTTCCCAAGCAAGAGCAGTTTGTTTCTGACTTTGGCCTTTTCTTAGCATGTCCTCCTATCCTACCCTACCCTTTTCACTATTCCTTAGACTAGGACGTAGGGCTTTGGTCTGCTGAAAGCCTTTCTTTCTTCCTGCTGGGCTTGGCCAGGTTTCACAGGCCACCTCGTCAATTAGCTCAAGTTAGCAATAGCTGTGTTACATAAGGAGCCTGGTTCCTCCCGAATGTTGCCATGCCAAAGTGGGGAAAGGACAAGGAGCCCCTCTAAATTTAGCATATAATTGGCAGCCATCAGGAGTGAGACCTTGAAGTAAACCCTTGGAGATCTGGGGTTCTGTCTTTTATCTACCTCAGAAAACTGCTTTTCAAAATGAGCCTGGGTTTGGCAGATATCACCTTTTTGTTTGCAGATCACTTCATGTTCAGGCTTAAGCCCTCCACAGCCTTATTAAGGACACTGGCCCGATGAAGCCAAGAGTATTCGGTTCAGCCTGTTGACTTCATGCAGATCTGGCTTCCTAAGAAATGTACTCATAATAGCAATAGCTGTCATTAATCTGTGTTAGGCACTTTGTATATTCTCATTTTTTGCAAAAAGCTGTAGAATTTTTTTCTCCATCATTATAACAAAAGAAAGAAGCAGTTGTCTAAGTTTACTTAGCTACTCTAAAACTTGAACCCGGATCTTTCTGACTTCAGTGCTCCTACTATTTACTGTTTGTTCCACTCTGCCCTTGTCTGGATTGATGAAGTCTAATTTGAGCCTAGCAAAAAAGAAGATGGCACAGAGGGCCTGATCATCAGCCAAGTGGTCTAAATAGATAGAGTACTGCTTTTCTTCCTGAACTTTTGGATTTCTTGAGACAAGATCTCATGTAGCCCAGACTGGCCTCGGACTCACTGTGTAGCCAAGGATGACCTTCAACTCCTGATCTTCCTGCCTCTACCTCCCAAGTGCTGGGTTTACAGACATGACATGCACCAATACACCAGGCTCTTTCAGTTACTCTGAGAGCTTGATGTTGTAATTAATAAGCTTTTGTTTATTTGCTGAAGGGATGGAGGGGTTGAGACAGGGTTTCACTGTATATCCCAGGCTGGCTTCAAACCAGTGATCCTGCCTCAGCCTCCTCAGTGCTAGGTATGCATACCATGGCCAGCTTATTTGGATTTTAGACTAAAGTATACCTAGGTTTGTGCATTTTTTTTCTTTTTCCATATTGGAGATGTTATAAGCAAGTTGTGCCAGTAACATAGACAGACGTGTTTGTCTTTCTGCAGTGTTAGAATGTATTAAATAACAGATTGACAGGCTACATCAACTTTGTTGGTTTTAAGCCACCACACATTCTTGATTTCACTTGGTATTTGTGACCATCATCAATCATAGGTTCTTTCTTCCTATTCCAATCTTAATTTCTAATATTAGTGATTCTCAGATTATGCAATTCTATATAGGTTACAGAACAGCTAAGAAAGTTCAGGTGAGACTGGAGAGACAAATAGCAGTTAAGAGCACTGACTGTTCCTACTGAGGATCCAGATTCGGTTCCAGCACCCACATGAAGGCTAGCAACTGTTTGTCACTCCAGTTCCAGGGGATCTCATATCTTCTTCTGGTCTCTGTGGGCATTGCACTCAGGTGGTATACTTACATACATGCAGGCAAAACATTCATATACATAAAATAAAAATAAATAAATTTCTCCCCTTTAAGTACATTAAAGTGGTTACAAAGCTAAAAAGGGTCTTACTGAAGGGAAAGGCAGAGGGTTTTACCAAAAGAGTTACTGCAAATGGGTAGGTAGGGTATTAACAAACCCAGTCACAAATGCCAAAGTGCAGAGCTGATTGGGGCACAACAGTCCCCAACATGCCAGATGTGGTGGCGCACGCCTTTAATCCCAGCGCTCGGGAGGCAGAGGCAGCCGGATCTTTGTGAGTTCGAGGCCAGCCTGGTCTATATAGCGAGTTCCAGGACAGCTGGGGCTACAGGGAGACCCTGTCTCAAAAAGACAGAAAAAAAACAGTCCCCAACAAACAGCAGTTTGCTGCAGTGGACAAGCAAGGGGAAATATGTTAAGCTGAAGTCCTGGAGAGGGTCAGGAGTTTATCTCTTCCCACTCCCATGATACATGAAGAACTAGGTGGACTGATGACAGATCAGCGAGTGCTGCTCTACACCAGTGTTAGGTGGCCCTCCTTGCACATGATTCAGGTGAGGGGTTGTATTGGTAAAATCAGGAGCCTGCTTTCTCTGGTGCAGTTTTGGTATGCCCCTGTGATTTAATTTGATAATTCCTTATATGCAGAGTGAAGTTATCTACCAGTCTTTGTCTCATAGTTGTGCCACACAGCCGAGGGTCGTTCTTTTCAGTAACTTCTGGGTGCCCAGCATCTGGTGGTTATCTACTTGCCCAGACAAATTACTAAACTACTGCCTTACCCCTTTGCACTTCATCAGAGCCTGTGATCTCACATGTGCTAAATGTGCACTCTGCCACTGAGGCTCACGTATTAGTGAATTTAAGTCCTGATACCAGTTGCTTCAAAACCGACAGTCCTTTTAATTTACCGGGAGATCACATCTGTGCAGTGGGAAGATGGTAGGTAACTAGTTCACCTTACAACTAAAATAACTCTGACAAAGTTAAGGGTCAAAATAATTTTCCCCCCTCAGGATGTTTGTAGGTGGTAGGAGAGAATCCTGGACTATACTGAAAGTTCTAATTTTAGTTCTGCTACTGATGAACTGTCACCATGGAAAAGTCACTCTACCTTAGTTTTCTTATCTATGAATGAGTTTAGACTGGCTGACTTCTGTTGGGCCTTTTCTCTTCTAAAATTCAGTATTTTCTGCCCATGAAATCAGTATAAGGTTTGGTTCAATTGCATATTTGGATTATGGGTTTTTTGGGGGGTGGTCTTTTTGAGACAGGGTCTCCCTGTAGCCCCAGCTGTCCTGGAACTCACTATGTAGACCAGGCTGGCTCAGACATTCCTGGTGATTGTGATGTGTTCCCTGGAGCCTAATTGTCTTAAGTGCCCTTGGAGGAAGGTTTTGTGCAGAGTCCACAGGAGAAAACTATCTCTTTTCATCTCCACAGTCTTTCCCATTCAAGATAGTGTTTGAAAATACTGTCATGCTTAGATTTTTACCTATTCCTATTTCTCACTTAGCTGCTCAAGATCAGGGTCTGTGTCTTTATTCAAACTCTAGTCCTAGTTTCTAAAACCAGAGTATAGTTCAATAAATATGTGTTTCCATTTCACGTCAAGGCCCATGGTTCTGTCCTAACTGCTTTCTGGGGGGACTTAACTCTTGCTGTTGGTGGTACCTTACAGGTTTGTGTATGTGTGGGACACCACGAGCAGGAGGATCCTGTATAAACTCCCTGGCCATGCTGGCTCCATCAACGAAGTAGCTTTCCACCCCGACGAGCCCATCAGTAAGTCTGTCCTGACTATTCCAAAAGGAAATACATACTCTCCTCCCGGGTCCTGGGAACACAGAGGTAGATGTGATTGTTATGTCAGTTTCAAGGCAAACAGTTGGGGGTTTTGGTGGGGGCTTTTAGGTTCTTTGTTTTGCTTTGTTTTGTTTTGTTTATACTTTCCCCTTGCTTTTCAGTGTATTTATTCAGAATTAATAGAAATGTATGAAAACCGACATCTTATTGCATAATCCTTTCTATTCCATTTCATGCAACCACAAACTCGTGCTTGAAATTATACTAAAAAAAGAAAAAGCTTTTCAAGACATAAGGAGAAAAATTAATTTTCTGAGATTGTCAGTATTTACAGAAATGTCTTTTAATTAATAAAGTCTGGGAAAGGTGACACAAGCCTTTAAATCCCAGCACTCGGGAGGCAGAGGCAGGTGAATCTCTGAGATCGAGGCCTGCCTGGTCTACAATGTGAGTTCCAGGCCAGCTGGGCTACAAGGAGATCCTGTCTCAAAAAGACCAAAGGAGGTTGAGGGCAGGGGGGAGGCCAGAAGAAAAAATAGAGTAAGGCTAGAGAAGTGGTTCAGCAGTTGAGCATATACTGCTCTTACAAAGGACTTAAGTTTAGTGCCTAGCATCCACATTGGGCCTTTGACAACTGTCTGTAATTCCAGCTCCAGAGGTATCTGACATCCTCTTCTGGCCTCTGTGGGCAGTTGTACTCAGGTACATATACCAACATATAGACACATACACATAATTAAAAATAAAACAGGCACTGGAGAGATGATTCTGGTTAAGAGCACTGGCTGCTCTTGCAGAGGACTCGGGTTCAGTTCCCAGCACCCACATGGCAGCTAACAACCATATGCAACTCCAGTTCCAGGAAATCTGATAACTATTGATTTTCCAGCTCTACCTCCTGAGTGCCAGGATGATAGGCATATACCACCATACCTGTTTATGTGATGCAGGGGAATCCAGCTCAGAGCTTTATGTATGCTAGGCAAGCACATTAACATCAGAGCTATACCCACAGCCCTATTTTGCAATTTTTAATTATTCATATAT